TGTCATTGCATGTGTTGTGTGAGTCTGAAGAGTAATTTATAGACTGGTATCAGACTTATGGACTAATATAGGACTTATGGACTTGATCTGGACTGGGCTGGGATGTTTTCTTAATGTTCAATTGCTCTTTTATATAAAGCTCTTTCTTATGCACATATAAGTGTCTATGAACTTGTTTCTCTACTCAACCCAGACTAACACATCCATCGATGTGTCTGGCCACACCAAGTGTCTTATTCCCACAAGGCACCCCAGCCTCTCTCCACACACCATCCTCTCCTCACTTCCTCCTCAAGATGTTTCCCCTGCTGGGGACGCCTGCTCCTTACTCTCTCAGACCCCTGCCCAAATCTCTCTTCCCCTCAAAGCCGGTCCTACCCCAACCAGCCACCAGGGACATCCTCTCCAGAAACAGTCTTCTCTACAGCGCATGCTGTTGGGACAACCCCTCCAGACTCCCCTCGCTCCTCAGCCGGCCCTTTGCTTTCCTAAGAAGACTGCCCGCTCCATAAAGAAGCCTGTCTTACCACGGTCACCTTTGACTCCTCCGTGCCTAGCAAATGTCTTGGCACACACCAGGGCCCTTGACAAACTCACACTGTTCTGATGGTGGCATTGAAGTCACCCCTGACTCCTGGAACTCACAGAGCCTCAAAAAATGAAATTCACCCAAGCTCAAGCTAGCAAGCATTCCATGTGTGTTGGGCGCCCCCCTCTAGAAGGTGCTTAATGAGCCACTAGCCAAATGACCCTGGTCACAACCGTGTGAGGTAACCCACGGCTGTCAAGTCAATTCTGATTCCTAGAGGCAGAGCAGGCCTGCTCCAGTGGGCTGCAGAGATTGTCCATCTGTAGAGGAAGGAACAATCTCATCTTTCTCCTGATGCGGTGGTTTTGAACCACTGACCTTGCTTAACTCATACCAAAAAAAAAAAAAAAAAAAACCCCAAAACCACACACATCAAAAAGCAAGAAACCCCAAACTCACTGTCATCAAGTCAATGCAGAGTGACCCTGGACGACAGGGTAGAACTGCCCTTATGGGTTTCTGAGGCTGTAAACCTTTACAGGGGTGGAAAGTCTCATCTGTCTCCCTGGTGGTTTCGAACTACTGACCTTGAAGTTAGCAACTCAGTACATAATCTCTACGCCACCAGGGCTTCTGGCTTAAGGCACTGGCACGTGTAATTACTTTATGCCATTTTGTGGATGGGGAGCCAAAGCTCATAGAGGTTCAACCACTTGCTCAAGGTTAGCTAGGATCTGAATCCAGGTTTTCCACGATATCATTGAGTTCTCCCCGTGTTGCCTCCGCTGCAGTCGTAAAATAGGTCAGAGGGAGGAAAGGTCTAGGGCAGGGAGGGGCTGGGAAGCCGGCGCCTCACTCACAGGCCGATTTTCATACTCCAGGCAGGGGCAGGTGATGGTACAGCCATCCAGGAGGATGTGGCCCTTTGGGGGGGTTGCTCTCCGGCCCCCCTCAAGCTTGTAGTATAGCAGCGTGTTCTGCCGGAGGACGAACCATCGGGCCTTCCAGTTGTGGACGATGTGACCCTGTGGACAGACGGGAAGTCGTGAGCTGTGCTTCGGAGAGCTGTCCCAGGCCGCAGGGAGTCAGGCTGTGCCTGGCAGACAACTCTGCAGGGACAGAGGAGGAGTTGCTTTTGGCTGGGTCTCTCAGCCATCTCTTTTGTGTGTGTCGCAGAGACCTTTACAATTGACCTCCTAGTTCCCAATGGCCATGTTGATAAATCTTGAAAGAAACGGCAAAAACCAACTAACCAAACAAAGAAAGAAACTCATTTTTGTTGAGTCAATTTCTGACTTACAGTGACCCGACAGGACAGAGTAGAACCCTGCACCCCAGGGTCTCCACCGCTATCGGTCTTTCTGGACTCGGCTGCCACCGATTCTCCCCGAGAGCAGTTGGTGGGGTGGAACGGCTGACCTTGCTGTTAGGAGCTGCGCTGTGGTGATAGAATAGCCACCACATAGAAAGAAGAGCGAGTCCGCACTCTCCTGCAATCTCACCACGGGGGACCGTCACGGGGAACTCCGGCACTGGGTGCATCCAGTTGGTGCCTACTCACAGCAACCTCCTGGACAACCCAGCTTCCTTCTCGCCGGACTCCCCCTCTTTGTCCTTTTGCTTTGGGCTCTGCTTCTTGGAAAAGCTCAGACCATCGCCACAGGATGGTTTCCGTTCAGGGTTTGTTCCATTTAGCTGAGCATCTTCTCACGCCATGCAATTTCTTTAGAGGGTGTTTCTCATGGACCACCGCATGGGTGCACCATTGACTTACCAAGCCCTTTTGCTTGCCACCGAAGTGGTTTTCATTTTTCACGGTTATAAACAACTCTTTCGTGACTCTCTTTGTGTGTAAATTTTGATCTGCCTCTCTGAGTTGTTTCATCCCCCTTGACAGAGTCCCTAGAAAGCATATTGCCTGTGGAAAGACTGGGCGGCTTTTGAGGGGAAGCCACAATGGACTTGTGCTAAGGAACTAACAGGCTTAGCTAACCAGGTGGCCCAGCCGAAGAGCCAGGGCGGTGCTTGTGGCTCCCAGGCAAGGCGTCCAGCGGAGGCAGAGCACCTGTGTAGGGAACAGACCAATGGGTGGTAAGATGGCTGTTGAGGGACCAGAAAGAACAAGTGTGGCCCTCACTCATGACAGCAACTTCGTGGTGTCTCCCCTAGGGTAGCACCCAACTTAGGGCTGGCTTCTCAGCAAGAATGCTGTCTGTAGTCAGGCGCAGTGGATTCCAGCGCATGACACCCCATAGGTGTCAGAGTAGAGCTGTGCTCTATAGAGTTCGCAATGGCCGGTTTTTCAGAGGTCGATCATAAGGCCTTCCTTCGACAGCACCTCCACAGAGCCTCAAATTCCAACCTTTCAGGGATGAGTCAAGCATGCTGACCCTCCCTGCATGCCAACCCCACCCCTCAGTCACCCCGGTACTACATGCTTTATGTTCATGAAAGTCCCTTGTCCTGACCTGTCCTTCCCTCACCTGATATTCATGAACAACAGAGGGCCTGCCGGTTCTCACATCTGTGATCAGTGTTAGGCGCTGCCCGGTCAGTTACGACCCATAGCCACCCTATATGTACAACAGACACATCACCCGGTCCTGCGCCATCATCACGAATGTCCTTACGTTTGAGCCCAGGGTCGCAGCCACTGGGTCAGTCCATCTCCTCCAGGGTCTGCCTCTTTCCGTGGGCCCTCCACCGCCCTTCTCCATGTCCCTAATACTACGAGTCTAGTCCAGGCTCAGCAAGTACCGAGAGCTGTCAGAGAACCGACCAGGTGTTATAGAAAGACTTGTCCGCCCCACACTCGGGGCACCTGGGGCGGGGGAGCTGCACGCACCGAGTGGACTGTGGCACCAGGATAAGATGTGCCACAGAGTTAGCCTGGCATGCACTTCCTAGTGCGCCTGAGCGTTGTCGCACTACAGGAGGACCCAGCTGCCCTCCCGCGCCGTCACAGGACGGACGTGTGCCTGCTCTCGCTCGTCTCTTCGCCGGTTGCTCAGTCCACACATAGCATCCGGGCTGACAATTTCCCGACACAGTGGTTAAAGGAACCAAAAGGGTTTGGAGCTGAGTCTTTAGCTATTGGGGTTCTCCACTGCTCCCCTTATGGCCTCGACTCAGGTCCCCCATTCTGTATGACTCCGCTCAGAAGGAGCTCGGTGGGAAGCCTAGCTCGGTGGGCCCTGAGCGCTTGGGTCCTGAACAATTAAAGGCCGAAAGTGCTGGCACACAGAGCTGGGGCAGGGGCAGGGGCAGGGAGGGGCGAGGGCGCCCAGGTTAAACCTGGAACCGTAGGGCAAAGAGGGGTGGCAGGTGGTGAGCAGAGAAAACAAATGGGTAAGCATTCTAAATCCATGCACTCAGTACCCGCTGCCACGGGGCAACTTCCCACTCACGGGACCCTACAGGAGAGAGCAGACCTGCCCCGAACGGTTTCCAGACGGCCACGGCTTTCACCAGAAGAGCGGATGAACGGTTCGAACTACTGACCTTTCAGTTAGCTGTCAAGCATTAAGCCACTGTCCCACCAGGGCGCCTTGGTTCACTCAATACCCTTTCTAAACCCTTTTCAGCTGACTTTCCTGAACCAAATGTGATTTCCCAGGATCCGTTGCGCTAAAGGAGCAGGCAGGTGACCAAGTTCCTGCCAATCAGATGTCTGGAAGTGAGCTTCGGGAGGCAACAGCCAAATGGGGGAAACTGGAGCTTTCGGAGAGGACCATGGTGGAAGAGCAGGTTCTTCTGCACCGCTCTCTCCAGTTACCGGGCACACGTGGCCGACAGTGCTGGTAGTGTTGTTTCCTCTACAACAGTGACTTAGTTAATTGTGCCAGCCTGGCCGATAATCACATGTGGGGCTGGTTGAAAGGCGGAGGGATAAATGAGTGGTGAAGCCTCGCCTTTCGAGTTCTCGGGTCTCTTGTTTTGTGATGGTCGCACCAGGGTGCAGCTGCCTTAGCAGTTCCCTGCTTCAGCTTGCAAGATGGACTTCATACAAGACATCCCCAAGGAGAAGCTACATGGACCTACCCCGATGCAGCCCTGGGTGCTGGAGCAGCCGTGTGGAGACCCCTGCTAGTGCTGAGATGCTTATTCGTTCACTGACTCAGCTTTCCTCCTGCAGTCGGCATCATTGCCTCTGTTTTGTGAGGTGGAGGACTTTGTGGACTGGTGTTGGGTTAATGGGTTAATGTTGGACTTGTGGGCTTGGGCAGCATTGGGTTGGGATGTTTTCGTGATGCACCTTTTCTTTGCATAAAACTCTCTTATATACATGAGTCGCTGTGGATTTGTTTCTCCAAAGTACCTAGACTAATACAAACAGTCTGGGGGTGTTTTTGTCTGGCTGCTTCGTCCCTGGCAGTAGAGCATCCCAGCGTGGTTTCCCGGCCCTCCCAAGTTATGTAACATTTCATATTCACCATGAAATCCCTTCGATGTGAAATTGATAGAGTAGAATGTGTGCTGAACAAGGAAGACGTCTGCCTGTTACTAGAGCAGAAGGCAGGCTGGTCAGAGAGGACTCACTAGGTAGACAGAAAACTCAAACTGGTGACGGTGCTCATAAAACATTCTTGGATTCTTTAACCCGTGGTTCTCAACCTGTGGGTCGTGACCCCTTTGGGAGACGAATGACCCTTTCACAGGCGTCGCCCAATTCATAACAGTAGCAAAATGACAGTGATGAAGTAGCAATGAAACTAATTTTATGGTTGGAGGGTCACCACATGAGAAACTGTCTGAAAGGGCTGCAGCATTAGGGAGGTGGAGACCCACTGCGCTAACCCTACGTGCTAAGTAAATCATCTAAACCTGACAAAGCTTTGATGTGTTGAGGAGCTGATAGCCAACATAACATGCAGTACAGAAATAATACAGGATAGCATATATTGAATAGAGAACACATTATAGAGCATGATCTAGCTACATTTATAATGAGATGGTGACTGGTGTGACAGCGTGGAAGGATTTTGATGCCAGCCTATGGTTGGAGAAGTCATGGTGGAGGCCTTGGGATCAGACCCAGCCGTCTGGGCCACCTAGGATCACAGAGGCCCGATAAAGCATTTCTACGTACACTATTTTATGTACCGTTGAAAAGAACTCTAGTGCTGAGATTTCAGAAAAACTTCTGGAAGGAAACCTCAGCAATGACAACAGCAGTCAGCTCCAAGAAGGGAGATTTGGTACAGGGGTGGGGGTAAGAAGGAAAATTCTGTTCATTTTACACTCTTGAATACCACTCTAACTTGTTGGTTTAATAACGTATATTATCTTTATAATGAAAGAACTAATTTCCAGCATTCGTTTCTTCATGTATTCATCCGATGATCAATGACTACACACTATCTACTGAGGAGGCAAAGAAGAACGAGGCTGTGCCCCAAAGCCAGTGGGGTGACAGACTACTTGTCTTCAGCCAAACAGACAAGTTCCCAAACAGATGGATAGATGGCGCCTACAATACCCAACCCTGAAGTGAGACGGCTCTCAGGAACTCTTGCCTTGTTATTCACACCCTTACAGACTTCCCCTTTCACATCCATATTCCAGGGGCTAGTCCTTGTGAGCAGACGGGCACCAAATAGGCAAGGAATTAGATTCCTTGGCCAGTGGGGAGGCTTTGAAGAATTTTAAGCAGAAGGGTGACATGTTCACATTAAATATCACCCTGATCACAATGTGGATAAATCATGGACTGGAGCAGGCTGGGATCAAAGGTGGAGGGTTTCCATTAGAACCAGAAAACTGGCAGAAATAATCAGTATCT